TTTGCATTTGATTAATCAACTAATCATTATTCATATTCGAGTCGGACAACAACTTCTATTACTCCGAGTTATTATTTATCTAGTATTATAATAAAAATACAAACTGTAACATTAATAACTAAAATATGGATACATATGTATAAAATCTATATCATATAAAAACTGGCACTTTCATCTCATAAACCTGAATCTGAAAGACATTCAAATAAATTTTTTAACTGTTTTTAAAATGTCCGTGATCATTTTACAATAATTTAAATCAAAATATTTTATTTGACAATGTTAACATTAGCGGCCAGATGTCCGCCATCGGCCACCAGAACCGTACCCGTAATAAATGATGACTCGTCTGAAGCCAAATACAACACAGCATTACCCATATCGTAGCCCTCGCCCACCCGACCCACGGGGTATAATTTGCCGTAATCGTCATACCAGGCCTTTTTGGCGCTCTCATCGGCCGAAGTGTACGCAATGTTAGTACGGACTGCGCCGGGACTTTAGTGCGATTTATTTATAAGATAAACATGTTAATATTGTTATTGTTTGTAACATGCTAATTTATAAACATTAAACATACTTAACATTATTAACGCGTATGCCTTTAGTTCCCAACTCTGCGGCAATACATTTGGTAAACATATCCAACGCTGACTTTGACATACAATATGCTGAAAAATCTTGCCTCTAATAATTAAGGTACCATATTTTAAATTGAGATATTTAAATAAATAAATCTATATAAACTTAAATACCGTTTGAACGCTGCGAACACTTGATATATTAATAACATTTCCTTTTGTTTTCTCCAAATGTTTGACACAAATATGGGTTAAGAAGACAACGGAATCCAAGTCTGTCTTAATGTTATTTCTGTAGACATTCACATAATTCGGGTCATCAAAGGCGCACCGGAGGGCTATACCCGCGTTGTTGACCAAAATATCTATTTTGCCAAAAGTCTTGATAGTTGTGTCGACCAATCGTTGAAGATCTTCATCACTGGTCACGTCTGCCACCACTTCCAGTGCTTTCAAGCGATCGGGCGATACGTCGAGACACTGTTTGGCCACTTCTGACACTCGCCCGGCGTTACGTCCCGTCACCACAACATTGGCTCCCGATTTAGCAAACAGTATGGCTGTGGCCGCACCAATACCCGAACTCGACCCAGTGATCAGGGCCACTTTCCCAGCAAAATTATACGATACTGACATTTTGATTATTAATAATAATTTTATTTATTTTCGTAAATATAAAACTATTAACTTAGATTTAACACTTAATTGATAGTGAAATGCATTTATATACTGTATAAATATGTGATAAACGAACTAATATTAAACTATTGAAGGTTGATTATATTACAGAATGCAGTGGTAATATAAAGTTTTATATTATTGATACTTTGATTATGTACCGCATATTATATAAAGTACCAATTGCTATAACGTTTAAACCCTAAACTAGAAATTACATTAAGTTAGATTATCTTAATCGATTATGTGAGTTAGTGGAAATTTTGGAAGTAACATGCGCTTATGCACATTAGAGGTAATTTTTAGTATAGATTGATACATTATATTTTACATTAACTAAATAAACTATTTTATAAGTTTAGGCCAAATTTAGATATAGCAAAACCATGTCAGTATAAAAAATCACGTTTATTTAAAAATAACTTAAAATAATTAGTTTGTTGCAATTAATTTAATTTACATAATTAAATAGAAAGGCAAACTGTAAACATATTTTTAAATGTTACTAATATTAATTGTTTTGTTCATTATATAATCATAAATGGTTATGAAGTTCACAACAATTTATACAGTAAAATATTTTATTATAATTTTTCAATAATGATACAATAATATTTTCTCGTAAGTAATTAATCAAACATTAGCGGCCAGATGTCCGCCGTCGGCCACCAGAGCCGTACCGGTGATGAAAGAGGACTCGTCTGAAGCCAAATACACGACCGCGTGTGCGATGTCTGACACATCGCCGTATCGGCCGACCGGATAGAGTCGGGCGTATGGCTCCCATGCCTGGTCTGAATCGGCCTGAGAAGCACCTGCCCCTACCAAGATGTTAGTTCTGACGACACCAGGACTTAATTGTTGGTAAATAACAATAGGAATTTGATTTACTGACTTTGTTTTAAATAATTTATTTTATATACTAATTATTAATATAACATACTTAACACTATTAACGCGTATGCCTTTAGGTCCCAACTCTGCGGCAAGACATTTGGTAAACATATCCAGCGCTGACTTTGACATACAATATGCTGAGTATTGCTGCGCCTGTTTAATAATTATATTTATATAAGTAAAATTATGTATTTTAAAGTTACCATTTTATTATTTATAAATAGTAATTAAATATTTATATCTATTTTAGATAATTATAGAATATTTTAAATACCGTCTGAACGCTACGAATACTCGATATATTAATGATATTTCCTTTGGTTTTCTCCAAATGTTTGACACAAATATGGGTTAAAAAGACAACGGAATCCAAGTCTGTCTTAATGTTATTTCTGTAGACATTCACATAATTCGGGTCATCAAAGGCGCACCGGAGGGCTATTCCCGCGTTATTGACCACAATATCTATTCTGCCGAATGTCTTGAAAGTCGTGTCCACCAATCGCTGAAGATCCTCATCTCTGGTCACGTCTGCCACCACTTCCAGTGCTTTCAAGCCATCGGGCGATACGTCGAGACACTGTTTGGCCACTTCTGACACTCGCCCGGCGTTACGTCCCGTCACCACAACATTGGCTCCCGATTTAGCAAACAGTATGGCTGTGGCCGCACCGATACCTGAACTCGACCCAGTAATCAGGGCCACTTTACCAGAAAAATTATATGTGACAGACATTTTTATTATTTATAATTATTTTATTTAATTGCAGAAATATAAACTATTAGTGAACACTCAATTGATAATAATATCCATTTATATACTTATAAATATGTGATAAATTTACAAATAATCAACTATTGAAGGCTGATTACAACACTTTCAAATTAGTATTAATAACAATACTGTACATTTATTAAGTATGTACTTCATGTTATGGTACGTACCAATTCTTATAACGCTTAAAAACTAAACTAGAATTTAGATCAAATTAGTTTATTTAAACTATATTTTAATAAATTATTTGTTTTTAATACGTTGAAAATTGTTGTATCCACGACTATTTGTTTTATGCTTTAACTTCACAACATATTAACACTAGGAATAATTTACAATATAATAGTTTAGTACATTTATGTTTATACTACAGTTAAGTATTGACCAGAAAAATATATAATGTTCAATTATCTTGTAAAAATGACATAAAATAAATAAGTTTACCCACATGGTAAATTTATAATGGCTAATATTGTATTGTTTATTATATAATTTATTTAAGCAAAAATGTAATAACTTAGCATTACTAACTTGTAGTAATATTAATTTACAAAATTAGTTAACATGATCAAATACAAAAGCAGGCTGTAGATATAATGTATTGTAAAGTACAGTATATGTAAATTACATAGGTATTGTTTTATATGTTTATTCAACAGTCATATCTGGTCATGTTTTGATTTAATTAAATATTTTTATTTTAATATTTTAAAATAAAATAGCAAGATGCTAATTAATCAATCAAAAACGGCAACATTAGCGGCCAGATGTCCGCCGTCGGCCACTAGAATTGTACCCGTAATAAATGAGGACTCGTCTGAAGCCAAATACAGTACTGAGTGTGCGATGTCTGACCCCTCGCCGTACCGACCGATTGGGTAGAGTCGGCCGTACGTCTTGTTAGCCTCATCGCACTCGACCTCCGATACACCCGCCGCTACCATTATGTTGGTTTTGACGACACCCGGACTTATAGGGGGTGATACATATGTTACATTCAGATTACCATAATATGTAATGTTATGTAATGTTATGTAATATTATGTAATGTTAGTAATTCAAAACATACTTAACACTATTAACGCGTATGCCTTTGGGTCCCAACTCTGCGGCAATACATTTGGTAAACATATCCAACGCTGACTTTGACATACAATACGATGAATATTGTTGTGCCTAATTTAATAATAATTATTGTACTTACTTATAAAGGTAATTAACACAATGATAATATTGTTGTAAAAACATAAAGAATTATTTATTTTTAATACCGTTTGAATGCCGGAAATACTCGATATATTAATGATATTTCCCTTAGTTTTCTCCAAATGTTTGACACAAATATGGGTTAAGAAGACAACGGAATCCAAGTTTGCTTTCATTATATTTTTGTAGACATTAATGTAATCTTGGTCTTCAAATTTGCTCCCACGGGCTATACCGGCGTTATTGACCAAAACATCTATTTTGCCAAAAGTCTTGATAGTTGTGTCGACCAGTCGCTGAAGATCCTCATCACTGGTCACGTCTGCCACCACTTCCAGTGCTTTCAAGCGATCGGGCGATACTTCGAGACACTGTTTGGCCACATTTGACACTCGCCCGGCGTTACGACCAGTGATTACAACATTGGCTCCCGATTTAGCAAACAATATGGCTGTGGCCGCACCGATACCCGAACTCGACCCAGTGATCAGGGCTACTTTACCAGTAAAATGATATGTTATGGACATTTTAATATTTTATGACTATGTCAAGTCAATGATGGTAAATATTTTTTAAGCATTTAATATTTATATTAAATTGTGAATAATATTTCAGTACAATTGATGACAAACAATCTTTGGGTTACATTGAGTTTAGATTCAGATTAAATTAATACTGATTACACAAACAATATACACATGCGCTAATAAGGAAATTATTCAAGGACATATCGCAGCAAAATTGAGTATAACCATAATATTTTGATTTTAATAATAATTACCAGTCAGTTATCAATTAATTATTATTGGTTGTAAGTTAACCATGATTAAAATTAATCAAATAATTAACAAGCATAAACTTATATTAAAACATCGGTTATATTTATATTCATATTTAAAACAATCATTCAAAGTATTTTCGATAATAAATTTTATAAACTAAACTAAAAAAGAGGTTAAATATTAAAAATATAAAAATTTAAACAATTAATTAATTATTATATGACATAGACAATAATTTACCATCATTAAACTTATAATATTACACAACAAGACCTTGATTTTATATTGTTGGAACATCTGCAATAAATATCATTTCCATTGAATTGAATGCACTTTAGTTTAGGACTTGTAAACAACATATGACTGAAATCATAGTTCGAGAGATCATCGCTTGGATTGGAATTTTTGATTGCAAGCATTTGAAGCGCCGGTAGTGTTGAAATGTGAACCAAAAACTCGGTGTTCAAAAACTTGCAATCCGTGTACAAAGAGATATAATCTATTGTCAGGCATTGAAGTCGCGGCAAATGTTTGTCACAATCTTGAAATGAGTTTCCATTTATTGGATTAAAATGTAGTGTTAAATGTGTTAATCGGTGGCAGAGTTTCAACGGTTCCCAGAATTGGTGATCAATTGGCGTATACAACTTTAATTGTAAACTTTTTAATCGGTTATAATTACCCAATGGATTCAATGTCTGGCCATTGAGTTGGAAATCAGTTAAACCCAATGTAAGCGACAGTTGTTTCAATTGTTTACAGTTTAAGCCAATTGCGCGCAACCACTCGGACAACGAGTTCTGGCTATACTTTGGCCAAAAATAGAGTTTCAAATTTCGTAATTGTGTTAATCGCGACAATTGTCGGCGCATTTCGGGTAAATCCCAATCGATAACAATTGCCAGACGTTTGAGGGACTGATTCCCGGAGACAAATGCCTGCAACAGTTGGTTATCGTAGACCGAATCGGATGGACTCGAATGGACAGCAAATGTCTGTAAATTCTTTGCCAATAATTGCCCGGAAGTGGTGTCGAAGACATCGGATAACGTATGGACTTGTAATCGAGACAATCGGTTGCAATGAATGAGTGACTGTTTGGCTGAACTATCCCTGAGTTTTATTTCTGTGACAAGTGATCCAAAGTTAGACAACGTTTGGTTACTATTTGGTCCTAACGTGCAGTGAATGTCTCGCAAATGGTCTCCAAAAGCGTTGATCACTTCGGGAATGAATTCTTCAGATGTCATTCCTCGACAGTCGAGGCGTCGAATGTTTTGACATTTCATTGCAATTGTGGCCAACATTTGAGTCTTTAGAGGGTTTGCAATAAAACTATCGTCAATACGAAAGTCCACAACACTTCCGAAGACTGTCCTCTGGAACTGTTTGGACACCGATTCTAATCGGAAGCGATCTTCCAATGAGAGAGAAGATAACAAATGCCCGAATAAATCATCACCAAATCGATCCAAAGAGTCTTTAGCATATAATTTTGGCTAAAATTTGAGACATAAAACTAAAAATTCAATAAACAGTTAATTATTTTTTAAATACCTGTTGTTTGATGACTTGATTTGCCTCATATTTGGTATCGAGTGATGTCTTTATTGATATGTTTTGTGACATATTTTGTGATCAATGAAGTGATTGTATAAATAGTTTGATTGAAATTATATTTAATTAACAAAATTATTCGCAAAAAATTGATCTCAAAATACAATGTCTTTCTCTGAAACACATATAACAGTGAAATGACTTGAAATTAAATAAAACTTTTGAAATATTGTAGAGAACGGAAATATAAATGTAAGCAAATTTGTGTTTTAATTTAAATTTCTAAGAATATATTGTGAATTGGTTTGCGTTAAGGTTTGACTTCTTGTCAATTTTACAATTGTTATGCAATTTATGTCAATAATAATGTTTTAGTTTATAAAATGCTTATATCGTAATAAACGTATTTCCTGTTCAATCGGTATATAAGCCATTGATTACTATATTAATTATATATCAATTGTCTATTGAAAACTATTGTAAAAGTATTTATTTTAATAAATATAATTGCAATAAAATAATCAACAAACATCAACTTATATTAAAACATTTGTTATTTTATTATTCATATTTAAAACATACATTCAAATTATTTTCAATAATAAATTTAATAAAATAAACTAAAAAAGGGGTTAAATATTAGAAATATAAAAAATTAAACAATTATTTATTAAAACTTCTGCAATAAATTTCTTTTCCATTGAATTGAATACTCTTTAGTTTAGGACTTGTGGACAACAGATGACTGAAATCATAATCCGAGAGATCATCGCTTTTACGGTAATTCCTCATGACTAACATCTGAAGCGCCGGTAGTCTTGAAATGTGAACCAAAAACTCACTGTTCATCTTGTAATCCGTGTGCGAAGCGGTATACCGTATTGTCAGGCATTGAAGTCGCGGCCAATTTTTGTCACAGTTTTGAAATAATTTACCATTTATTGGCTCAAAATATAGTGTTAAATGTGTTAATCGGTGGCAGAGTTTCAGCGGTTCCAAAAATTGGTAATCGATTGGCGAAAACACAGCTAATTCTAAACGCTTTAATCGGTGATAATATCTCAATGAATCCAATGTCTGGCCATTTAGTGGCAAATCATTTAAACGCAATGTAAACGACAGTTGTTTCAATTGTTTACAGCTTAAGCCAATTACACGCAAAAACTCAAACAATAACTTCTGAACAGTCGTTAACATTGATGTCGTTCTTAGACTTAAATGAAGTCTCAAATCCCTTAATTGTGTCAAACGAGACAATTGTCGGCACATTTCGGGTAAATCCAGACGAATACAAATTGAGAGACATTTGAGGTTCAGATTCCCTGAGACTAATGCCGACAACAGTTGGTTATCGTAGTCCGGCCCGAATGGCACATCAATTGTCTGTAAATTATTTACCATTAATTGCCCGGAAGTGGTGTCGAAGACATCGGACAACGTATCGATTTGTAAACGAGACAATCGGTGGCAATGAATGAGTGACTGTTTGCCCGAACAGTCCCAGACAATCATTTGTGTAACACGTGATCCAAAGGTAGACAACCATTGGTTACTCATTGATCTTAACATGCAGTAAATGTTTACCAATTGG